TTGGAGCCACTAAAAATGGTAAGACATGGCATGACAGTTTGTCTGTGCACTGTTTAACACACAGGGCCTTGAAGTAGAGGAACCCAGGGGTCAAAAGGAAAAAGTGAAGGAAAAGGGGAAGCTTTGTCCCTGTTATAGACATACACTTGGAATTTTGGGACTTAGGGTACAGCACACATAGAGGACATTAGACTGAATTTTGCCTTCCTGAGAAGTCACATGAATGGCCTAAGGATCTAACTACACTGTCCTTAAAGAAAAACACAGGAGCCAGTCAAATGCTGCATGCCAGGATGTGCAAGTCTGGTCTCAGTGTGGACAGGGGGTCTGTACTCAATGAGCCTACAGCGCCTTGGTCAGATTCCATCTACCACCAGCAGACTACCAGGATCCACAGCAGCAGCCTCCCTGTCCAAACACACAGACACCCAAGTAGGCTGTCCAGGGTCAGGAGTCTCCTCTGGCAGCACTGTTTGCCATATTAAATCTGCTCATGTGGGCCACCAGAGCAGCCATGTCACCAACATGTAACATACATACCTATGTATGCACTTAGAGCTGCAATCTATTTACAGTCTTCCCAATAAAAAAATACTACTCATCAGTCTTTTGGCTAAGATCAAGTGTACAAATATACAAAATATAAAAATTTAAAAATATATTAACATATAAACTAAACTGAACACCTATAATCCCAGCACCCAGAAGGCTGAGAGAGTAAGTAAATTCAAAGAAAGCCTGGATAACTTTGCAAGATTCTATCTCAAAAAAATAAAAAAGAAGCTGGGCATGGTGGTGCACACCTGTAATCCTAGCACTTGGGAGTCTGAGGCAGGAGGATTGTTGCAAGTTCAAGACCAGCCTGGGCTACAAAATGAGCTTAAGGCCAGCTTGAACTGCACGGTGAGACCTTGTCTCAAAAAGACAAAAAACAATAAATAAATAAAAATAAATTAAAAAAAGGGCTAGAGGTATGCAGCTCAGTAGCTCAAAGTCCCTGGGTTCAATTCTCAAAAAAGAAAAAAGAAAAAAAATTAAAGAGAAACAAAAAATATAGAAGCTTCTTGTCTAGGAATTTTGCTTTGAGGATATAAGACTTGTGAGGGTGGCCAGTTTGTAACAAAAACCCAAAAACACTGAAGCAGCATCAACATAATTAAATTAATTCCAATTTGGCTATTTATCATCCTGCTTTTTTTTTTTTTAATTCAAAGAACAGAAGCATGCCTATAATCCCAGAACTTGAGAGGCTAAGGCAAGAGGATCACTACTAGCTTGAGGCCAGCTTGGGCTACATGTTCTAGGCCAGCGTGAACTACAAACTCTGTCTCAACAGAACAGAAAAGAACAGAACAGAACAGGCAATAAAAAGAACTATGATAAATGCAAATGGTGGTTATCATCAAATATGTCCTTCTCCTGTTTTTTTCATCCACAATGAAAATAAAATGTACAGCCAGCTCCCAATGGCAAGACATTCAATGGAGGGAAGGCAGCACACAAAGACAGAAGGGGGCGCTCCCACCCTCTACCCGCCATCCAGGATATAACTGGCAGTAGCCCTCACTCCTCTACACTAGCTCTGTGGACAGCTGCGGCTTCCTGAGAGTGCACACACGCAGTACACATCCAGGCCTCCATGCGCCTTCAACGCCAGTGTCTCTGTGCTCATTGCTCTTCCTCTATCAATGCTTACTTCTTACTTCCCTGGCTATGCAGGATGGAGAGTAGGAGTACACACAAGCACCTTCCCTAGTCTATGCAGGCTTCCCACATACCTTCCACATAGAACTCCACATGGAAATGTGTGTACACACAGAGGTCCAATGTTAAATTTCATACTCTCAGCTGAAGCCCATACCTGTAAGTAACTGACTGGCTAAGGCAGGCCTTTAGTGTTCACCCAGATCTTTCTGGTGCAGACACAACATAATTTAACGTCCCCTGTGACTGAACTGCCAGATTGTCTCCAATTTTATGACCAGCAGATGACACCATGACACTGATGTTCATCAAACATCAGTCTCAGGTAAATATTGGTGCAGGTCTCTTTTACAGGCAGACTTTAAATTCACCACAAAGTCCATAGGAAGACTAAAAGGATTACTCAAATGTTTACCTACTTTTATAGTTCTTTTTATTGAGACTGCTGACATTTTCCGGAAACGCATGATAAACAAGTGTTAAAGCCTATACAGTTATAAACAATTTGAGAGGCCTTTCTTACCGATTATTACTACAAGGGCAGATGAGCACTCAACAAAAGCAACAGGATGACTGGAAATACCAACACTTCATAACAACGGGCTTTAGTTCTTTTTTTTTTTTTTTTTTTTTTGTCTTTTTCGTTTTTATCGGTACCGGCGATCGAACTCACGACTGCCTGCTTGCAAGGCAGGCGCTTATGCCGCTGAGCTAAATCCCCAGCCCCTGGGCTTTAGTTCTTAAGTGTAAGAAATGTACAGTGAGGTACAGAAATAAAAAAGCACATGTCTTGCCAGGTAAATGCTATTTTTATATATATACTGCCAGGTATGGAGGCACATGCCTGTAATCCTAGTACTCTGGGAGACTACGGTAGGAGAATCATGAATTTGAGGCTAATTTAATGAGATTCTGTCTCAAGTAAAAAAAAAAAAACCAAAAAACAAAACAAAGACATATACATGGGCAGGAGTCATAGCTAGTGTGAAGGTTCTTGGTTCAATCTCCTAGTATTATCTCTTTCTCTCCCCCTCCCTCCCCTCTCCCTCTCTTCCTCCCTCCCTCCTCTCTCTCTCTCTCTCTCTCTCTCTCTCTCTCTCACACACACACACACACACACACACACAAAACCTAAGAATAATCTAACAAATGACAAGGAGCAAGACTTTCATGAAGAAACCCTAAAGCCTTCTGTTAGACAGAAGAAAGTACAAAGGCAGCCCTTCACCATGTGCAGGGGCCAGTGAAACCCGAAGGAGACAGATCTGTTTCGGTGCCACCTGAAAGGCTGATTCTCAAATTCACACAGGCTGAGGATGGCTGGCTACTGCTGAGAAGTAAAGAGGGGCAGTAGGATCAGGTCTGCAGAGTAACCACAGAGCCAGTCATCAAGACAGGACAGTGCAGATTTTGACAGAGGAAAACTAGTCATTGGAACAGAACAGAGTCCATAGACTCTGATGTGATAGACCAGTGAGGACACCAGAGGCACTGAGACTGGCAGGAAGAAAGCTTCCTCATAAATGGTGCTCAGACAACTGACCTTCCAAATGGCTAAGAACTGGACTTACTGTCAGCCTAGTCTGCCCAGATAAATGCTACTTCAGATAAATGAATCTGAAGGAAAAAACACAAAGGGGAGAGGCTTACTTCTGAGTCTGGGTGGAAGGCAGTAGAGGGCACAGTTAAGCTCCTGTGATCTCAGAGGCTTGGGTCACAAGAAACCTTCACAGAGAAAATGGCCAAGCTTGCTCAGGGAGTGCAGGGAGGGGGTGCTCCAGCAATACTGAGACCAAAGCCCTCTCTTTCCTCTTGCAAAGTCTCATAGGAGAGGAGGGCCCAGGAGACCATGGGTCCACATAAATTAAAGGAACGAGGCTGGAGACACAAGGACTTTAGGCACCCAGCCAATCTGTGAGACGTCAATAACACCTTAAGGTGCCCAGGGTAGGATGCCCACCTATTTGAGCTGTATGAGGCAGGAGCCAAACCAACTTCTGACAATCAAATGGCTCCTCCAACCTTTGCAGACCAAGACAACAAAGCCTTTGTGGGTTTTCTCCTCACCAAGACCACCTCGGTTCTCAGCAGAAACCCTGGGAGAACCCCATTCCAGAGATGGGGAAAACGCAATGCAGATTGGCTAGTTTCTGCTAAAGTCACTCACTCACTGCACACAGTAATCAATCCTGTGAAAAGGAAAGACAAAGGTCCACAGGACATACAGACAAGGGCAAAAGACAGGACACAGGGACCTAGAATGCAGTCCCTATGCAGGCCTGACAAAGATCAGTCAACATGCCTTCAAAATGCCAGAATCTGTGGACAAAAACATTGAAACTGTCCTTAAAACTGTATCTTCTATGTTCAGAAGATTAAGTGGAAACAAAAGTGACTAGAAATGAAAACTGCAATGTCTGAAGGAGAAATTCTCTAGAGGAAGAGCAGATCAGACAGATCACACACTGCAGGCATAAAGATAAATGAAGGAAAAATAGAAACTACCCAAAACGAAACACAAAAGGGAAAAATTTGACATCCAACAAACACAGTGAATGGTGGGACAGCTTCACGAAGTCACACATATGTGCATGAGAGTCCTCAAAGGTGAGGGAACAACCAGAAGGAAACGAATGACTATGGACAGGCAGAATTCTACATCAATACCAGGCCGGGCATGGTGGCCTACACCTGCAGTCCCATCAGTCAGGAGACCACGGCAGGAGAATCACCATGAATGGGAGGCCAGTCTGGGCTACACATTGAGTTCAAGGCCAGCCTGAATCATACAGTGAAATCTTGTCTCAACAAAATAAAAACAAACAAACCAAAAACACAGTCCCAAACATCTTTCAGTCTTCTCTTTTTTCCTTTTGAGACACAGACTCACTACATAGCTGGCTTTGAATTCACTGTGTAGCCCAGACTGGCCTCAAACTTATGGTGCTCCTCCTGCCTCAACCTCCCTAGTGCTGGAAATACAGGCATGAGCCACCATAGCCAGTAGACTTCTCATCTTTAGAGAGTAAAAATTGTCTGGTTATAGAGGCCTAATTTGGTATCAAGCAAGTACATCATAGTTCTATTCCTAGTTTACACCCCAACACCACAGAATTCTGGGTAGCTAATAACAACTCCCACAAAGGAGTCTGACGTGTCCAATCCACAGAGGGACTAAACCGCCATGGCAGGCAGGCAGCTCTTGGGGCCAAAATACACCAAGATTAGCAGAGTCCAAGAATGGTTCACACTGTCCTCTGTGGACTCAAAGTTTTTCAGACCACCATATTTTTTACCTTATAAAACACATCAGGCACGTACTGCTCGCTGCTGGATTCCTTGGCGTAGCCAAGCTCAGGGGCATCCTTACACGGCAGCAGACATTCATCGCGGACCAACGCCATACACTGATTGGACACTTGGTACCCTTCGAAGTGGACCTGGTTGTCGGGACCACCTGCAAGAAAGAGATACTTCAAAGAGAATCTACCACAGGACACTCAGAACTGGTCCATGCCTGCAACCCACCTGCCAACCAAAAGGAAGCAAACACTCAAGAATCTGCCTTGAATAATTTAGTGGCCTTGGACATAAGTATCTGGCTGCTGACCCTTATCTGATACAGGTGCCACCCATTATATGTCTGTCAGAGTTGGGAATCCAGATGCCACACATTCTCCAACATCTGTTGAAGCTGTACTGAGTGCCATCAAGCATTCACACTCTGAATTTTAACACCGCCACGGTATAAAGGCGAGAGCCCTGCCTTTGGTGCATGATGTGAACAGGATGTGGACAGGGATAAATCTGTGTGGAGACAAGGAAAGGTACCAACTGTGGGAGAACAAGACACATGCAATATTCAGTAAAAACAGTCCTAGCAGTCACATTACACACATAACAGACTCTACCTTACAGACACCTATGTGATCACATCAGGTAAGGGCCCTAAGCATCACTTCACACTCGAGGAGGTATAGACACCATGATAGAGCCAAGGTGACAGGTGGGCTTCAGCTGGGGTCTCTTCAGTCTCCACTCATACTTAATCCATCACCCTCTTTAATCTCCTTCATCTCTCTAAGCTCCACACTATAAAAACCTTGAAGTCAGGAACTTGAGTAGTATAAACAGCTGCAAGAGGGAGCACTCCCACCAGTTATGCCAGATTCCTAAATCTGGAGGGCACACGAGGTCATGAGGCAAACATCACCAGAGACAAGATTATACTATGACAACTGCCAGGTCCAGTTTTACACCTCTAGAGAATAAAAAGCCCTCAATATCTGTCTTTCCATTTGACAAAAACAGAATAATTTATTGATTTGCATCATAAATCAGTCTGTCTGTCTTTCAAACATGTACAAGAAACCACACCTAATGATCAGAAGTCAGAAAAGGTGATGGATAGGACCAGAGTCAGCCCTACATGGGCAAAGCAGGCTGCCATCTTGTCTGAACTCAGGAGGCCAAGTAGCTGGCCCCAAAGGTTCCATCCACTGTGTCTAGCACTGTCACTCTGACCGTAACTCAGGTGAACACTAACATCTCAGTAGCATAAGGCTCGGCCCTGCATTGTGGCCCAGCACATTGACATTTCACCACAACTTGAGTTCATGAGCTGCAGGAGTCAGAAAAGTTGCCATGCATCCAGCTCATGTTTGAGTCTCGGCATCGTAAACTCACACTGGTGTTTACATTTATCATTAAGATGTAATCAATTGGTACAAAAAGAAAAGCCCGGCCTTTGAAGATGCGAAAAAAATGACATGTAGTTATTTATAAAATTGAGGGGCTGGGGACTTAGCTCAGTGGCATAAGCACCTGCCTTGCAAGCGCATGGTCATGAGTTCGATCCCTGGTACCGGTAAAAAATAAAATAAAATAAAATTGTAGACTGTAGAAAAAGCAACATTCTTCTAAACACTAATCTCCAAAGGCAATTAGCTAAAATGAACTGCAAACACCCTCCCCTGTGTGGAGTTGCAAGAAGCATACGCCCCATTTGTGATCACTGCCTGTGTAGACAGAGCAGCCTGTCAAGAACTACTCATGGGATACACTACAACACCAGGAAAGGGGCAACGGCAGAAAAGGGAGCTGCAGTTGACTTTGAGGTCCATTTTGCCTTTCGAAACCTGATCCTCAGTAAGCAATGTTCACGACCACTGAGCGCTGTGTGAGGACTAAAGTCCCAGAGATAGCACCATCACCATCAGTGTGAAGTTATGATTTTGATTCTGTAATGCGCTGTCCTTCCACAAATTCCTTTTTTTTTTTTTTTGTCCTTTTTTGAGATGGGGTCTCGTCATGCAGTTCAGGGTGGCCTTGAGCTCACTTTGTAACCCAGGCTGGTCTCGAACTCCAAACGATCCTTCCCACCTCAGCCTCCCGAGTGCTGGGATTACAGGCGTGAGCCACCACGCCTGACTCCACAAATTCCTTTTGATTGACTCGAGCAAACCTGCATAACCCACCAGAGGGGCTATGTGTAGTTCTGGGAGCAGGAGAGGACCATAAGCAGAGAACCTTTTCAGGCTCTACCTGTGGAGAAACCTCAAGCAGCAGAGGCGTCACAAACAAACATGAGGGCTCACACCTTCCTGCCCAAAAACAGACTCCAGAAAGGGACCGCATGAAGTGTATTTTCTAGCAGCTCAAGGTCTCCACCTGTCCCCTGACCAAGGGACCATAACATAGGGGAGAGGGCAAATTTTACTTGAAGTTAGGAAACCTTTGTCCCAGCTACAGTGACTAAAATCTCAGAGTAAACTCTGTTAGTCCCTCCAGCTGGGTGTGGAAGTACATGCCTATAACCCTAGCACTTAGGACGCTGATGCAGGTGGATCACTGTGTTTGAGGCCAGACTGGGATTCATAGTCAGTTCAAGGGAAAACTCAACTATATAACAAGACATTATTGGAAAAAAAAAACAAAAAAGCCAGGCATGGTAGCACACACCTGTAATTCCAGCACTCAGGAGACTGAAGCAGAACTACTGCAAGTTCGAGGCTAGCTTGCGTTACACAATTGAGTTCAACCCAGCCTGAACTCCACAGTAAGACTATGTTTAAAAAAAAACAAAAACACCAAAAACCAAAACCATCTAAGAGGCTCTGTTAATCTGTAGTGCTATAGATAACCACTCTTCAGCCAATGTCCCCTCAGGAAGGGTGACAATGACAAGACCAAGCACAAAGAGAATTACCTAGTACCTAGACCCACAAAGAGGCTGACTGAAGATGGAGTATTTTCCTCTACTTCTAGAATCTTCCACTAGGTACTGGGTCCCAAGGAGGGACTTCATAGAAAAGCTGATTTCTATCACCTCCTGTTGATTTCTCAACAGGAGGTGTGACTCAGCTATTGAACGTAGTAGTCCCCAAGTTAAAACTACTTGTAATTTTAGAAATGTGCTAGTACTTTTGGCCAAACAGACACTTTCCCTGTGGAGTCAATAATTAAAAGGGCTAGGTTACCATGGAAGCCCATTCCGGAAGTTTCTGAAGATATTCCTGGCTGTCTCTACAATGGGGCACCACCAGCTTTCATGGCTGGAACTGAATATGTTAGGCCTCTTGCCAGGACAGAGAGATCACACTCTCTTATTATTTATGATGTATACAACACAAAATCTACAGCCACACATGTCACTCACAAGAAGTGACCTGTATCCATGTTATCTTCAACATCCCCTAAGCACTTACGCAGACAAAAGCCCATTTAGGAAGGTCACTCACAATGCTATTTTATGAAAGCTGCCAGAACATACATGCACAGTTCCACCACTGCTGACTCCTCTAGGACTAAAGAAGTGCACACATCTTGGCTCAGATGGAATGAGAGCCATGGAGCATCTCAGGAAACCACAATTTGTATGGCTGGGCCGGCAAGTCAGACCCACACAGAAGCCCTGCTCCCTACAGCGTACTCATTGGTCAGTCCCCAGACACCGGCCCACAGACATTCAGCTCTCCCATGTGCCTCTCCTCCCATGCGCCTCTCATGTGACAGTCAGGTTGTACTCTGCTTCCTTGTCAAAGCTGTGTGCAGGCAGCCAGCATGACTTTTATTATCAGAGGAAAGGATTTTCATTTAAAGGAAAATGTCAGAGCAGCTTCTGTATTTTGTTTTCTTTTTTTTTTTTTTTTTGTACTGGGCTTGAACCCAGGGCCTTCACACTGAGCTACACCCCCAGCATTTGGGAGGCTGAGGTAGAAGGATCACAAGTTTGAGGGCAGTCTGAGCAATGTAGAGAGACCCTGTCTCCAAAGTAAAGCTGTCTGTCAATTCAAAAGGACCTTATATCAATGAACTGCAAGCTTGCTTACATACAGCATGACTGAGGAGTTCTGGCAGTGGAAAGCTTAGTGACCAAGGGTTCTACAGTATTGGAAATCAGATCCAGTTCCTCATATACAAACAGACTGCTCATGAGTGGGCATGTCTTACAGGGGTACTGTTACAGAACCGAGAGAAGGGCATCAAGAAAATGGGAAAACGGGGCTCTTGTCTCTGTAAGGGCCTCAAGTTAGGGCTGCACATGATCAAGTGCTTACTTTAAAATATAATCAAGCCTGGAAAGCACAAGGTCCTGAATTTGATTCCAGGTACAAAAAAAAAAAATAATAAATAAGGCTAATGGCACAGCAATAGCCTATGCTACCAAGTACAAGGCCCTGGGTTTACTCAAGAGAACCAAAACAAAGAAAAACACAAAATATCACCAAATGAAGTGTATGTTTATGACTCAATTCTCCAAATTTCAAATTCCTATTCCTTTTAATTCTACAGTCCTCTATCTGAATTTTTGCTGGTACTACAGTATACCTTTAGGGTGTACATAACATAATACATGAATACACTCTCAAAAGAGCTTTACAGAACTGATTTCTTAGAACAATAGCCCTATTCTTTTTTTGGGGGGTAGGGGGGTTGAGACAGGGTCTTAATTAAGGCTAGCCTTGAACTCGAGGCAATCCTCTTGCCTCAGCCTACCAAGTACTAGGGTTATAGGCATCCAATACTATGGCCAGCTAACAGTCCTATTCCTTTCAAGGCTATACGGGTTATGCAATATTAAGTCCCACTCCTCACACAGACAACTGTCACCTCTCATTACAGGAAAAGGGCACAGTAACCCTGAGCTCAGACCCAAGTCAAGTTCACCTGGATTTGTAATGCAAGCACGAGGCCATATGACAGCCACACCCAAGTCTTGCTGTGCTTTCCATGGCCTAGTGCTGCCTATCAAGATGGTGCTGGTGCTGGTAAGTTCAAAATTTTTACCCTTAAGACAAAAAGAGACCAGGGATTTAGATCAATGGTATAATTGTCTGCCTAGCAAGCGCAAGGTCATGAGTTCAATCCCCATACCAAAAAAAAAAAAAAAAAAGACAAAAAGAGAACTCTATTCCCAGAGGTCCATTAACAAAATCTATTACGACTAAGTTAAGGTGAAAAGCTGCTGGAAAGAACAAAATATATTAGCAGGGCAGTAGTTTTTACATTATTCTGACCCTATTTATACCTGTGGCCACTGCAGTAACAAACTTGGATCCAAAATGGCCATCAGGGGAGAGCCGACAGATGTTGGGATGCTTGTTTTGGAAGTCTCCTGCAGTGATGCACTCTTCTGAACTCAGAAAATAGGTGTCCTATGACAAGAGAGGTGGCATATCAGGTTTTATGGCATCTATCAAATACTTTTATTTCTTCTTTAGGTAACAGTAAAAGGTGAACTACATTGAAATGAACACACATAATTCCTAGCCATTGAAGACTCCTCTAAAACCACCCAGATCAGAAAGGCTGGAAGAACTGGTAACCCATACCCACAGGTCTGCGCAGATGAGGAGGCTTTGCCCTAAGGACAGAATCAAGACCAGCCTGAATTTACTAAGAAGCCTGTTGTGAAAATAATTTGATCTGGAAGCATTTGTAAGCTGAGCAGCAGCCTGAGTCAGCATGATTCATCCAGACTCAGAACCACGCCAGCACTCCTGTCTCAGCCTCACCTTATTTCGACTGTATCGGACTGTGCCCTTGCGAGTATCTTCTGAGACGAGGTCTGTGAATATCCAGCCAACCTTAATAAAAAAGGAAAGTATCTTTTGAGTCTCTTCCCAAAACAGATGGTAAAGGTTCCTGGCTTCTGTCCACAGAAGATGAGAAGAGTATTCTGGCAGAGCGCCAGCCCTTCTTGAGAGCCAGGTAAGTAGTTCCTCACCAAGCTGCTGGGCCACACCAGGGCTTCCAAACCCCACTCAGCACAAACTGGCCTCCTCCCTCTGGTGCTACTGAGTTGGGGGAATGCAGAGCCCATTTATCCACTAAAAAGGGGGCTGCTCAGCACAACTGCCCACACTGTACAGTACTGGGATAGTGTGAATGAGACCAACAAGATGACAGAGAACTTATGACACACAGGAAGAAAGAAAAGGAGCAAACGCTAAGAAGTTTGCAATGCTAGTACTTTGCGATACTAGGTTTTATTAAAATAAGAAAATTTCCTGAGGAAAAGCGCTTAAGCTTTTAAAGGGTGATGTCATTCCACTGGTTCAGAGCCCCAGTGCAGGACTAGCAAGAAATGTCTGAGGTCACAGGACCTGAAGACCCATTCTAGAGCACCTAAAAAGCCAGTCTTGGAGCTTAGGCAGGGCACCTGCTGTTCTGTGATCCAGGCCTACTGTGGTTCCCTAACTCAGCATTCACAAGGCTGAGCAGTGCTAGAGGTCAAGCACAGTTGTGCACCTCTGTTCTTGGGAACAGTGATGCCTGACTACTGCCCTCGCCAGCACAGCTACTCTGCTCTTCAAACAACCCCTGTTGATAGCACTGGGCATACTGAGGATTGTCACTGTAGTCAGATGCCCAGGCCAACATAGGCCAAAGGAGGTCAGCAGAAGAGAAAGTGAGACTGAACAATCAAGTTAATCAGGCCATACTGAGTAAGCAGGCAGAGCTACAGTGAAGCCCAGGTAAAGAACTAGTAATTTATGAAAGGCACTTAGATAACTTTGAGACTCTGTCTTATGTTGCCATAAACCAAAAGTTGTAACACACATAGGTCAAAACACTAGATTAGCTCCTCCCTTAAACAAAAAACTTCAGAACTGAAACTAAAATGACCCTATATTGAGATACTTGCTTCCATTAAACACTGTTAAGACTTTTTCCTTAAGATGGTAAAATTCGGGGGCTGGGGATTTAGCTCAGTGGCATAAGCGTCTGCCTTGCAAGTGTGTGGTCTTGAGTTCGATCCCTGGTACCGGTAAAAAAGAAAAAGACCAAAAAAAAGATGGTAAAATTCCACTGTCTTTGTTCAGAACATTAATGAACTCTAAATCACATTTCTAGCCCTCTTGCCCATGCCACCTTTATCTGTAGAAGAATAAAATAATCCAATTTCTCAATTAGGAATAAAGGATGAAATTTATGTAGCTACTAAAACTGAACTTCTATCAGTTCAAATTCATAGTTCAATTTGTCTATAAATATCCATTTTTGAGTTGGGTGTTGGTGGCACATACCCATAATCCTAGCACCTGGGAGGCTGAGGCAGGAAGATTATAAGGAATTCAACGCCTAGGCTTCATAATGAGTTCAAGGCCAGCTTGAGACCCTATCTCAGCAGAACCAACCAACCAAAGAAAAATCTATCAATCTAATGTTATTGGGCCTCTTATCAAGAGTTTAAGACAAACTATATCAATGAAGAAAACTGTCTTGTCTCTTTTTTTTTTGGTACCAGGGATCGAACTCATGACCTCACGCTTGCCAGGCAGGCGCTTATGCTGCTGAGCTAAATCTCCAGCCTCCTATCTTTTAACAACTGAGCCAGAAACTAAGAAGATCCCAGGCTCAGACACCTAAATTACAAACAGGAAATCTAATGATGATAGACAAGGGAACATCAGGAGCACTGCATGCATGGGACAGAAAATAAACTAAGCAGCATAAGATGATCCCGTTCAGAAGCAGTGCAGCTGAGTTTTAGTAATGATGGGTCCAGAGCCGGCACCACGTTTTATGTTTGATGACACAGTCCCATCTCACTCGAAGTCAAAGGGTCATCAAAACCACACATGAACCCAAGTATGGGTCAAGCCTGGCCTGACCATGTGTAGTTGAGGAGCTGGTCCCAGACCAGGTCTGGGCACCCTGCCTGCCTAGACATCTCTAGTTCAGGACTTGGGTGCCCCCCTAAAAGACCCTGTTTCATACCTTCCTTAGGCCAAGTTTGGCAGCAATCTCATCAACTACCTCAGCTTTCGGATCTTCTAGAAGTTCCAGGCTGTTCTGTGTACCAATCTGTCAGGAATCAGAGGAAGAAAACAAAATCAGAAGACAGGCACTGAAGAGCAGTGTCCCCCACCCTTTTTTCCCCTCCAGGAGGAACCAACCTTTTCCCACTGGCAGTACTGCCCACAGCCTATCTGTCTTTCCCTTCTTGGCTGCACAACCAGGAACACAATGCAGGCTTCAGTGCCAAAATGCCGTGAATGAAGGAGGAGAAGGCTGTCTGCACCCTTTGATTGAAAGGTCCCCTCATGAGGGAATAAAGCTATTTTCAAAATTTTCTTGGATAAGCAGTTCTGCACCAGATACGTTTTACAAAAAGGCAAGACTGCCTATGTAAGGTAGCACTCAGCCCAGAATCAGCCTTGGGGCACTCATGTGCCACTGCTGCAAGGTCGATGCCCAGCTCCACTGCCAAGACACTGATTCAGAGAGAGCCTGACCCGGACCACGGCTGACCTGCACTTGCATCAGACAAAAAGGCCCTGCACACTGTAACTTGACTGCAGGGAGGCAGAACACTTAGCCCTGGCAGTGCCCACAGGACACTGACTTCCTCGAGGGAGCAAAGCTTGCCAAAATCTTTTATTTTCATTTAAATCCAACTTGTAGGCCATGAATAAGTATCACTCCAAGCAGAAACCCTAGTCACAGGGATAAGAAAGTGAAGGTTATCCCAAATGGAGTTATATTAACTACACACAATCTTTGTTTTGTTTGGTTTTTTTAAGGAAGGGTATTGCTATGTAGTTCAGGCTAGCCGTGAACCCACTACATTGCCCAGGCTGTCCTTACACTCGCAGGGTCCTCTTGCCTCAGCCTCCCATCTGCCTTAGCCTCCTGAGTACTGGGATTACAGGTGTGCACAACCACACCCAGTCTTCTCATTCTTACAGATCAGTCAAATTTTGGCAAAATAGCAAAGAAGTACGTCTCCTGGGTACCAACCATGTGAAAGGCATAAAGAATAGGTCAAATCTCAAACCTGGGCTAAATCTAGGGAAAGTACTTTTTCTTTTTTTTTGGAAAGTACTTTTTCAACAATGACCTGTGGCAGCAGGAGACTTATATTCTGACAAGTAGGGGAGGTTTTAACCTCCCAGACCCACCATTCAGGAGCTCAGATGCTACTGCTGTAAGTCTGGGCATCAGAGGATTTGGGGTTGGTTTGTTTGTTTGTAGTACTGGGAATTGAATCCAGGGTCTTGCACATAATATACAAGTGCTCTACTACTGAGCTACATCCCTAACCCCTTTTATTTATTTATTTTTTATCTTGGGATAGAGTCTCACTATATGGCAGGCAAGCATCGAATTTGCAAGCCTCCTACCTTGGCAAGTAGCCAAAATCACAGGCATGCACCATCATACAAATTAGGTTTCTATTCCAATGTTTTCAATTATACTTTAACAGATCCCTTAAATTTTCCCTGAAAGAACTTTTTTACAAAACTGAAAGTTTAAGTTGTACACAGTAGCCCATACTTGTAATCTCAGCACTTGGAAGGTTGAACAGGAGTATCACCATGAGTTCAAGATTAGCCTAGGCTATATTGGGAGTTCAAGGCCAGCCTATAGTGAGACTGTGTTTCAATAACCCCCAAACAAAACAAAACACAATTTCCAGGCTACAGAGAACACCTAGTGATCCAGGAGGCTGGATGACCCAGATTTGTCCAGTGGGTCGCATCACTTTATGAATGCACCTCACAGACTTCATGAAAGCTACTCTACCATCCCATGTGTCCACCAGGGCAGCACACACTCAGAATCTGTACGACAGTCAGGAGCCTCATCCTGTTAGGAGCCACACACCCCCCTGCAGCCAACTGGCATCCACCTGTGGCAGTCTCAGGTTCTGTCCAAAGGCCCTGAGACTGGTACCCCAGCAGCGGTTACCAGACAGCCAACCTAAGCCAGGTGATCTAAGAACAGGTCAGCCACAGAGTAACCACCAGAACACAGGAGCTGAGGAAAGCACAGGCAGTGCAACACACAGGCAGAGAAAGGAGGGCAGCACCTCCCTGAGTGCCTTAGTATCTGCTTAGGCTGACAGGTCACATGTTCAGTATCAAGCCTCAGAGGTTCCAAGCCAGAGGAAGGCAGGAAGCAGAGCAAAGTGGCAATGCCTGTTTGTGAACTGACTCTGCAACTAAGTGGTTTTTGTTCTTCCCTCCCACTTCCCCCATAAAACATCAAACGTACAATGAAGTCCAAAGAACTTTACAGTGGGCCCCATATCCTACCATCTAGATTCAGGCATACATAGGTCAAGCCCTCCCTTTGTTTTGGTTTTTTGAGATAAGAGTCTCACTATGAAGCTCAGGCTGGCTGTGAGCTTTTTTTGCCTCAGCCTCTTAAGTGCTGGGATTACAGGTGTTCACCATGCTGTTTGTATGTCCCTCTTGCCAGCCACCTATCCAGGTTATTTTTTGGTTGGATTTTAAAGTAGAGTGTGGATGCAAGCACACATCACTCAAAATATATCACAGGTGTATTATTAACCAGAATTCAGTATTTGTTAGTTTTGCATTTGTTGCTGTTGTTTATGAGATCCTAGGGATTGAACCCTGGGCGGCATGCTACATTCTCAGGCCTCATTTTATGCTTTATCTTGAGACACAATCTTGCTATATTGCCCAGGCTGGACTCAAACTTGACTCTCCTGGTTCATCTCTCAGAGCGTGGGATTACAAGTGAGCACTATTACACCCAGTAGATGATTTGCTTTCGTAACAAAATATATCTAATGAAACACATTATATACAGTGTATGTAATTATAAAGCAAAATCAGACACCAATCTTTACAAATTAAAAATAAAATGTGTATCTATTTGGTGGTATCATCACATAGACAGGATCTTTCAGTAGCTTTTTTTTTTTTTTTTCTTTTTCAAGACAGGGCCTCACTGTGTAAGCTGGTCTCAAACTCATGGCATCCTCCTGCCTTAGCCTTCTGAATGCTTAAAAGTACAGGCATGTGCTACTTCACCTGATCTTTCAGTAACTGTGACCCCCAGAGGAATATATATTTGCCCCATTAAAACTTTTCCATTTACAGCCCTATGTTGGTAGTTTTAGCTACTTTTGTTATTCTGAGATTGGATGGTGCATGGCCTGGGTCAATGTGGATACTTGCATCCCACGAATCCTATAGCTCTAGAATGGCTGTCTCTCACAATGTTGAAAACAGACCTACGAAGAAGACTCAAAGCCACAATTCCACAGTACTGGGCCCAAGTGCAGATCAAGAGCTCCAACAGCAGCTTCAGGGGCTGAGTCAGAATATATTCCACTTCTTTAGCTCAGTACATGTGCTAGCATGTCAAGAGAATATCTACACTCTTTAGGATACATACATCGAGATTGTAGGACCAGGATCTTACACTCCAGTAGTTCAGAAAACTAGTACTGTGTGTATTCATGTGAATGTGCATGTGTGTTTGTGTGTGCAGAGAGAAGGCACATAAATGACAAAGCGAATAGAAGATGCATCCCACACAGCCTTCGAAACAAAAGAATACAGCCCTTGGTAACTATAAATCCTGCACAGATGTACCTGAGGAGGTTCGTAAATTGCAGCCACTTCAGCCCTGATGCCAAGGGGAATGTCTTTATGCTCCGTGTACCGTCCGTATAAGTACCCAAAATGCTGGTTCCCTGTCTTCCTCCAGAAGTCAAGGAAGCGGTCAGCAACAGTGTGATTCTCAAACATGATGTTGTCCACGTGTCTGTATTTCTGTAGAGTTAACAACAGTGGGCTACATAAAAAGATCCCACTGAAAATATTAATTAATTTTTCTAAAACAAATCTTTCCAAAGTTCTCTAGAACAAAAAGCAGTTTTCAGGAAGGAGCAAATGAACAGAGAGAAGGGAATGCTGAAGGTGTTTCCCTGAGTCTAGAAGGCCATGGTGAGCTGTAAGAAACTAGATATGACTAGGTGGCAGCAGGAGAATGCTCAGTGCACTGCTGTCAGGGAAGCAGCAATAGGATAGACTCTGTTCCCCACACTGAGCAAAACGCTCAGGAAAGGATCCATCCTCAGCCTATAGAAAAGTTTATTTCTGTGATTAGAGCTGTAGTTCAGCGCAAAGGCCCTGGGTTCAATACCCATTACTGAGGGTGGGGTGGCAAAATCACAACCATAGAGCATTTAAATAGATCGTGAAGAAAATCCCACCTCCATACAGACAAAAAAGGAACCAGAGCTCCTGCACCATACCAACAAGAGCTAAAAATGTTACTAATTACATCTTCAATGCCAAATGATGGATAAGAAAACACCTGAGACTCTGCCGTACACACTATCCTGCTGGAGGCAGCTCCTCTCCAAGAAAATATCTGCCTCTTAGTAATGCCAAACCCAGCAGACATGAGCTAGCTCACCTGTCTATTCAGCGTGATGGCGCTGGGCTGGCACTTGGTGCAGATGCCATTAGGCCACGGGAGGTGTCCCTCACACCCTGACTTAATCTTGCAGCTGATGTTCTCCAAGGCAACGAATTTCCCCCTGAGGGAGAAGAGAAGCAACTGAGCATGCATGTGATGGTGAGATGGAGAGGTGTGTGAAGCAGCTTACACACCCCCCCACCCTGGCAGGTATCAATGGCCCAAGCACTGACACAAGTGTGCTAAAATCATGCTGGCAGGACTCTACAGTCCAGCTTCTGTCCTGTGCTGGGACACAGGGCTCTTTTCCCACAAAAATGCAGTCTCTATTTTCAGCTGTACCTGTGCATTCATAAAGTTTCCAAGAATATTGCTGAATATCTATCGATTGAACCTATGACACACAGAGAAGGTTTTGGCAATTACATTAACAACTATGACATTAGCAACCCAGTTCTTATAATTTGTTAAAAAAAAAGAAAGAAAATTCTTATTTATCAGAAAAAGCTACTTAGAATACATAATGGTGGCATTTTCATTCTGCTTTTAGCTAAAACATGCACACAACTAGAAAACCTGTTAGAAGCCAGTCAAGAAGAAAGTCTGGGGCTCTGCTATAAACTTGCAGTGAATCTGTACATGAGACATCAGTTTTCTCTTTCACAAAATGGTCTAAGAATTCTTTTTCTGTTTTTGAGACAGGGTCTCACTATACAGTTCAGGCTGGTGTTGAGCTCATTTTGTAGCCCAAACTGGTCTTGAACTCAAAAAGATCCTCTTGCCTCAGCCTCCTGGACTCGAACTTGTAAAGATCCTCCTGCCTCAGCCTCCTTGAGTGTTGGGATTACAGGCGTACATCACCATGCCTGATTTAATAATTCCATTTTATTTTTCTTTATCTATTTTCCCCCCCAACTTCACTGAACTACAATTGACAAATAATTACATGGATTTAAGGCCCAAGGTCCGATTTTTTGCTTTGAAAATAAAAATTGAACGTATTTTTGATGCTCAGGGTGTTTTATTTTTGTTTGTAACTGTAGATATTGAACCTCGGGGCTCAGCCATCCAGATAAGGACACCTTCCAGGGATCTACACCTTCAGCCCTTTTTATCTGGATGTAAGATCTCATTAAATTGCCCAGACTGACCTTGACCTTGTGATCCTTCTACCTCAATTTCCTGAGGAGCTAGAATACAGCTGTGTGCTACAGCACCCAGCTGTTCACCATATTTTGAAATACATTTACCCTGCGGAGTGGCCAACCTGAGCTAAAAAGTACACACGTTGCGCACTCTATTTTCACAAGCAAGGGTGCACTGGTTTCTGCACACCAGATAGGCAATGGCACTGCTGCCAGACCCACACACCGCCCAGCTCAGGCTGTACTGCTTGGCCCCGCTGACAAAGGCTGACTAGGCTCCCGTCACAGCACTACATCTCCCTCACTCCCTTGTCCAGACTACTCTATATCTTTTCCCACTCACAGGAAAGGCTAGGTTTATGGTGGGGTGTCTTAGCTAGGTCTAACATTTTTTTGAAAATTCATTTTAGAATGTCAGCAGGTTGTCAAGGGAAAGCCACAATCAGGAGAATGTGATATTCTTCAGAAAATGTTGCTGACTTGGGCTCAGCTGCTGCCTCCCTTTATCATGCTAACAGGACTTACAGAACTGTGATTGAGGTCCATCACTCTGGGAAGGTATACAAGAATGTGTGCAGAGAGGAACACTTGATGTAGGTTAAAGAAATAAAAATACTTTCATTTAGCCCTTTCTGACCACTGCTACTCTTCACCCTCAGAAGTTGAGAAAAGGCTGCCTGCCTGCGGGACACAACCACTGACACACTGGAGTGCAGCCCACAGACAGGCCTACACTTCAGCTACTACCATGGCTGTGAAAACAATACTGATGAAGAGGCAGGGTCCTAGGCAACAGGCCCACCAGGGCTAAAATGGCTCAGCTGGGAGAATCAAGCAGCAGTGGTCCTTCTGCAAAGTAGAGGATGAGCTCTGACCCACAGAACCAAAGGGCCACTACCAAGGGTGCTGGGCACATGGCAAAGGCAATGGCACGATCTACCCAGGCATCTGTCCTAGTTCTGGCACTGTGGACGTGTGCCAGGTTGACTCCCATGATTCCTCACTTCTTCTAATTCAGCAAAGTTAAACACTCTGTTGCTCTGTACTTAAGTAACCAGGGCCAAAGGCAGAAAAGGGAGTTCAAATGTGCAGAGGCCACTTGCAGCTGCTTACTTGTCAGCGCCTCCAGTCAGCTTCCGAATGTAGGCATGGAAGGACATGTGTTTCACTGGAGGCTCCAGGTGGTTCAGGTAGTCCTCATCGAATGGCTAGCAAAACAGACAGAGAGCAAGTAGTCATGTGCCGGCAGGGCTCACAAGGCACAGAGACTCTACTGTGCAAGATGACAGCCCAGGCACCGCATCTTGCTGCCTGCCATGAGCTCAGCATCCCTTTACCAGTCAGCATTATCACAGTATCTTCAATCTTACCAGTAAAAAGTAGCAGAGCAGACAGGATTCAGGAAAGAGTAAATTAAAACAATGACATGCACACCACCCAACAGGTCCTGCTCTGTGTCAAAATTTTAAAAGGACTGTCCAGGGAGTCCATTGTACGTGGGTGGTATCCCTTCATCACAGCAACACAAACACTCCAGTCATTCATAATGCACCCAGAAGGTCGCTCCCATAAATAAAGGCTCAGCCTCTTTACGCTAGTGGGATGATACAGCCCAAGGTAATAAATAGATAAGTTCTTTAGCCACCACAGTCAAGTACAGGGACTCAGAGAGCCCTTGGGCAGCTCTGTTATCAGCAGCTGACCATGCTGGCCAATCAAGAACTCACCTCCAGTGGGACACAGTGCACACACTTTCCCAAGGGGCCATGACGGCATCTGAGAACACAGGCAGAGAAAGGCAGAGCAATATGCAGATTATTTTTTTGTTGCTGCCTTTGAACATTTTATTTATTTACTTTTGTTTTTTTAAGACACAGTCTCCTTGTATTGTCCACGTTGGCCTTACACTCACAGTGATCCTACTGCCTCAGTCTCCCAAATGCTGGGATTATGGTGTGTACCACCATGCTCGGCCACATTTTATTTATTTATTTATTTTGGTACTAGGAATCAAACCTGCCAGGCAGGTGCCATACCACTGAGCTAAATCCCCAGTCCCTGGCCACATTTTTGATATTTAAAATGTACTTCATACTTTATTAAAGTAGTTCCCTACCCATGAGAAATTTTAGATGGCACACTTGCCTTTTTAATAGTTTAGTATTTACAATGAAATAATTGACCAGCATATTCACTTGTGATTTCATGGATGTTTACCTCTTAAAATGACTAAAAATAAAAGCAATGCTTACAGCATGTGCAAGGCTCTGAGTTCAATCCCTAGCATCAAGGAAAAAAAAATGAGATTTAAAGTCAATTTAAATAATAAAAATGTTAATTAAATGAGACAGCTGGGGGGCTGGGGATTTAGCTCAGTAGCATAAGCGTCTGCCTTGCAAGTGTGTGGTCCTGAGTTCGAACCCCGGTACTGATAAAACAAAGAAAAAGACAAAAAAAAAAAAAAAAAAAAGAGAGAGAGAGAGAGACAGCTGGTACTGTACAAATTTGGCAAAAACCCCAAGAGTATTACATAAATAACCTAAGTGGGGAAAACACCCACTTCATGCACACTATATTTTAATTTTTTTCAAATTTTTTTAGTACCATTTCATGTCTATTTTAGAAAAACAGATAAAATACACTTGACTCCAGGGATTCTCAACATTTTCAGTCCAGAAGTTTAACACATAAGGTAACTTAGAGAGATGTGCTCAGTTTTCGAGGGCAGTAGTGAGGCTGCTGGGAAAGCCAAGCTGCAGTCCCTCCAGGGCTGTGTCCTATCCCATTTTGAATAGGGTCAGAATTCTCTAAGAAAGAACAGGAGGTTCACACATCAGAGAGACAGCCTCTGTCTCCTACTGAGGCTGATCAGAATTAATACAGGTGCACACATGCACTAAAAGGCTGGCTAATGAAGCAATGAGGGCCAGACCTCGTAAGGGAGCAGATGCTAGGTCACTAGAAGGAAACAGAGTGGCAGAAGCACACCGTTAACAACCATGAATACTCTGAGTGGCTTCACACCACAAGCAACTGAGCAGCATTTGTGGCTCTTTCATCTGAGACAACAAAGCTGTTAATGCAGCATTTGAAATCCCACTGTCTCAATGTCAGCACCTATTGCTTTTACAGAGTGATGCATTTAAAAGGACTCTGCTGCTGCAAAAACATTTGTTCAGATAATTTCACATTACTGAGGGTAAACTCAGATGCTTTTACCTGATGTCTTTAAAAATAATTTAAATTCTAAATACTAAAAGCAAAAAAAGACAGCAGCTGTGGTATGTACATGTATTGTGCTAGTAAAATTTTTAAAAACCATTAAAAAATTATGACGTACGCCTATGTCAGCATTGAGATAACCCCAACAAAGAGAGATTCCTTGAAGGAGCAGTCTCTTCCCTGGATGAGATGCTCACTAGAGGCTGAAGCTGTCCATATTACACGATGCCAAGAGGTCAGGCACAAGCCCCTGCACAGGCAAACACCCAGTAATCGGTCCCTTCAACTGCTTGATTCCTGCCCCAGGGTCCACGTATCTCGGAGGCAGCAGAGTAGAGCATTACTATAAGTCCCCTGGACACCTTTCAAATATCTTAGTAGCCCAACACTGCAAAACACTTGATGTGGCACATTTTGAGGTTCCAACTGATAAAAAGTTAACAAAATAACATGATGTGAAATTTAACCTGAAAACAGGCAGTCAAACTCAAAATCCCTGTATCTTCATCAGAAGCTTATTACAAGGGACACATTATCAATGCAGTACTTCCCTCCTGACCTGACCCACTCCAATCAGAACCCCAAAAAGCACTTACAGCTGTGGGTCCCGGCTTCTGTAGATCTTCCCATCCTGCTTGCTGAGGTACTGATCAATCTCATCCTCTACCACATTGGGAGGGCCAAAGGCCTTTAGCCCTACTGAGGCTGACGTCTCCATTTCAGATGAAGGTCCAGCAAGGTTGGAGGGAAACAGGAACAACAAATCGCCATGCCTGTTCAAGGAACAAAAAGTCAATGCCATTCTATCTACTACCTAAGCTGCACAGATCAACCAGGACATGAGAATTCTAAAATCTGCAAAAGGCAAATGCTACCAACCTGAAGTTTGGTGGCACACACTTGCAGTCCCAGCATTTGGGAGGCTGAGGCAGGAATACTGCTGTAAATTCAAGGACAACCTGTGCTACAAAGTAAGCTCAAGGCCAGCCTGAATTGCATAGTGAAACACTGTCTCAACAAAGACTATAAATAAATAAGTTTCCAGTTCTGAGACCAGAATTCTGTTTCGTGGCATTAGAAGATCAGCAGCTTCTGTCAATTTAATCTCCTATATTTTATTTAAAAGCTGTGGAATATGGCCATGTGTCTGTCTGACTCTGCACACATGAACCTAAACACCTCTGTGCTCACTCTGGGTCTTGAGGGCAGCCCTGCCTGCTCACTTACATAGTCCCTGTAGCCCCTTTTGCTCCTGGACCCTCTGTTCAGCTCCCTGCCCATACTGACCAACCCAGCTTGCACACATACACAGATAGGAGGAGGGGTGAGATCACTGCTGTACAAAAGGGTGTCACTTTCTACCCAGTGTGGACGCATGTGCACACAAATGTACACATGGACATGGGGAGAGGAATAGCTGCTTCAAGAAAGGCATCACCTTGTGCTCACGTCACACAGGCATACAGACCCAGAATGAACAAGCAGTTGCCACTTTACAAAAGGGCACCCTGATGCACACCTGCAATCCCAGCAGGCTGGGAGACTAAGGCAGAAAAACAGCAAATTCAAGCCTAGACTGGGCAAGTTAGGGGCCTGGGAGGTGAGACAGCTTAGTGTGAGGCACTGGGTTTGAGCCTGGTGCTCTACATGGGGGCATCACTTTCTACCCAGTGCACACACACATGAACAGGCATGGGGAGTCCTGCTGTACAAAAGCATCACTGTCACACATTGTTCCTTTCATCCAACATCCTCATAAACCCTCAAATACAGCTGTACACGGGCAGGCGTGACTTCTGATGGCGGTACACACTCTCCAGGAAGGCAGCTTCACACTGCAGTGAAGGGCACACTGCCGTGAAGGGCACACTGCCAGCTTTGGTCTTGTGAACACCTACACATGCTCACAGCGGGACTCGGGGTAGACTCAGGAGCAGCCCTTTTCTGTTCTTGCCGAGGTTCTTCTGTATTGTTTCCCGAAGAGTCTGCTGCAAGTGTCCTTTCCAACAGCAGTACTTGGCATGCTGTCACTTTCTATGTGAAGGGTCACTGGTCTACACTGCGCAATGCAGGAGTAGACCGGCTTGGCTAAAGAGCACTTCCACTCAGGAGCCATGCACAGCACAGTGGGGCTGCAAGTGGACAGTGGGCTCACACCCTGGGGAGAAAGGCTGCAGTGGACCTTGTGATAAATATTTAACCACTGTCAGAAAGGTACACAGAAAAGAATAAAAAGATTGGGGCTGGGGATTTAGCTCAGCGGCATAAGCGCCTGCCTTGCAAGCAGGCAGTCGTGAGTTCGATCCCCGGTACCGATAAAAACGAAAAAGACAAAAAAAGAATAAAAAGATCACCAGCCACAGCACTGAACAGCAAACCAAGAACACAGGACAGGCCAGGAGTATAAATCCCCAAGGACACAAAGCACGGCTGTAGATCTTCAACAAATCTGCCCTCACCTTTCTCCTCTGAATTCAGCAGTTAAAAAACTATCAAATTGTAATCAGAGACTTCTACTTGTGCAATAGCTATTCCTAAATACCCTGCAGCAGTAAAATACTTAGCTCAAACACTAGATCACAGAGTTAACAAATATACTCTAAAACACTGCTGAAAAAAAAAAAAAAAAAAAAAAAAAAAAAAAAACACTGCTGACCTCTAAGAAAAGTAAAGGAACTCCCAGACACCCAACGTCTGTAGTCTAGTCATCACAAACAGAAAGGACACAGCTCAAAACTGTCCCTGGCCCAGCACCATGATCAGGACCTTGAGGTTTTGGGCTGGTCGTCATTCACTGCACAAAGCGAGACAAGGCCTTGAGTCTCTGCCCAAAACAGGCTGCTGAGCCTGGAACTCCCACGTAAAGTCTGATGACTAAAAGGTATCTAAACTGTAGGAGAGACTCCAAAAACTGAATGGGAACCAAGCAGAAATCCTGCCCGCCTCCACTCACTACACAGATGGGGGAAAGCACCTCTGAGGCTGTAAGCAAGCGACATGCTCTGCCATCATCTTAAAGGTGGCACCCAGAGTGTTACAGGGAGAACAACCAAAGACAAAAATGAACTCAGAAGAATTTCAGCTCCACTGCACCCCCTTGTGCCCAAAGAAGCAAATGCAAGGCTCCTCTGCAGAAAGGCCATTAAATCCAAATCTTTCAAAATTTGTCAAAATCAAATTGATAAAACAGGTCTTCTCAAAAAGAAAATCCCAATACCAAAGATACAAGGGAAAAAGCCGTTAAGCAAGGATGAGCAGAGACGACGAAAAGATTTAAATGTAGGCCCAAGATTTGGATGTTGAAATTCCAAGACACAAACTAAGAAGAGCACATGAGAAATTTTCCAGGAGCAAGAGCAGCATGGCCTCTGAGAGTGCTTCAACAACCACATTTGAAAAGAAATCAAAGAATATTCAGAAGTGAAAAATGGCCAGGAAAGGTGGTGTACACCTGTACCCAAAACCACTTGAGAATTTGAAGCAGGAAAACCACCTGAATCTAGTTTGGGGCCAGCTGGGCAACATGGCATAACCTTGTTTCAATTTTTGTACAGAAGAGGTTTGCGGATTGAAGCTTTTGTATAAAAGCTGTGTGGGGGTTGAAAAGCTAACACCCTGCCACTCCTACCAAACAGCCCCCACCACTGCTGTGAGAGCCTGGCCCAAGAAGGTCCATTAGGCCTCTGCATCCAGCATCTGGTCAACAAGTTCTTAATCAAATATATCTTTATTATTTTTCTCTTTCTTTCTTTTTAAAAATCTTTTTAAAAAATCAAATAAACGTTAAGGAAAGGAACCTAGGCATAATGGAACCAGGCGTGAGATTGTGAGTTTGATCCAGTATTGCAAAAAAACTTTTAAAAAGGAGGAGGATAGTTACAGGAGTACACACCACACCCAGCTCAGAAGGTTTTTAAAAATATAGCTGTGCCAGGGGTGGTGGCACATACTGGTAATCCTAGCACTGGGGAGGTTGAGGCCAAAGGATTGTTTCAAGTTTGAGATGAGCCTAGGGTAAAAAGTGAGCTCAAGACCAGCCCGAACTATATAGTGGGACCCTGTCTCAAAAATATAAAAAATTAAATAAATAAAATAGAAATTTTAAAAATCTGGCACATGCCTATAAGCCTAGTACTGGGAAGGCTATTACAAGAGAATTGCTACAAGTTTGAAGTCAGCCTAAGCTACATAATGAGTTCAAGGCTGCTTGGAACTACATGGCATGACTGTCTCAAAAAACAAACAAACAAAACCAGTCAATCAAGCCATGGTTTCTCCTGCTCACTTGTTGCAGGCACTGTACACATATGAGGGAAGCACTGTTCTCCTCACAGACAAGGGCAAGGTGAATAAGGCAAAGTCATGTCCCAACCTCAGAGCTAGCAAGCATAAACCCCAACTGGCCTTTCCCCTCAAAGGAAAGATGACCTCGGGTACTCTGGAAATGGTCACGAACAATAAAAGGGATAAGCTAATTTCTAGAGGCAAGTAAATAACAGGTGTCCAATAAATCTCTATAGAATAAACATGTGCCATAACAATGAAGTTTTTCCCTAAGTACCCTAACATGTGAGACTAAATTGCCCATTGCCAGAGCAGCTCCTACTCTTCCTAGTAAACAGGCACATAGCCAGCTGCATATCATCCTGGCCCAATCCCTCAGGCAGTAGCCACCATGAGCTACCTGCAGCCAGGGGCAGCCAGCGGCTACAGCCTAAAGACTGAGGGGCACTCATGGGCTCTGCTGGCTGGCACGTGAACAAGTGCCCAGGCAGCTCAGACAAAGTCAGCAAATCTGTCCTGTGAAGGGGCAAACACTGAATATTTTCAGCTCCACAGGTCACATGGTCCATCACAACCATGTACAATGTAAGAACAGCACTGGATAGCTGACATGGCCACATCCCAGTGATGCATCATACACGTAGGCAGCAGGTTAAGAGGTGTCTGCAAGCTGGCAGCCCCCCGAACACAAGTAACAACTCAAGGAAACGATTATAGGCCACTGTCCTGCAGCTTTCCTGCTAAGCCAACAGAGCTGATGAGGCAGGATGTTCTCACACACAGCTGCAATCAAGGTCCTTCCCTTCAGAGGAAGAGCTGAGAGTAGAGCTCCTATGGATTCAGGCTAGGTGGGCCCCAAGTCTGCTGTCTTCTGAGGTGAGCTTCTGGAAGGTGATCAAACAATGAGGGCACTGTACTCATCAGTGGTTTTATCCTTTGATGGGCTTAAAAATGAATGTTCTGTTAAGAAGTGTGGCTTAGGGGCTGGGGATTTAGCTCAGCAGCATAAGCGCCTGCCTTGCAAGCAGGTAGTCATGAGTTCGATCCCCGGTACCGATTAAAAAAAAAGAAAAAAAAAGAAGTGCGGCTTGAAGCTGGTTGTGGTGACGCATACCTGTAATCCCACCACTCGGGAGACAGAGGCAGGAGGATTGCCTTGAGTTTAGCACTGGGGGTGCCACACAGTGAGTTCAAAGCTAGTGAGAACTACACAGTGAGGCCCTGTCTCAAAAACCAAAAAGAGAAAAAGAAAAAAGTGAGGTGGGGCCTGGCTGCAGTCTGCTCCCTGGGCCATGACTGGAAGGGTGTGTTCTGGTCCTTGGTCCCTTCTCCTTGTGCTTCCAGACTGCCACAGGTGGAGGAACTTTACTCTGCTATACTATTTCAGTATACTGGCAACCAGTACAGAAAACTCTGCTCTGAAACCTCTCCTCCTTTAAACAGCCATCAGGTATTTTGTCCCTGCAACAGGAAGACTGACTAACATAGCAGCCAACCCCACTGAAGACACAGACCCAAAGCCACAACGTTCTTCACAGTGATGCGCATCCAGAATTCTGCTGTTCAATCAAACCTGCTCAACAACTGCAGAGCTGGTTGCCGGGGACGCCTACCAAGCAACACAATCACCTGAATGGTGAGGTTTACAAGAGCCCAGGCAGTGGTATGAAGAGGAAATATGATAAACCAGGGGCCTCACTGGGTCACAGGGCTATGGTTCTTCCCCATTCCCAAGGTCTTTCTGGATAGCACTTACTTGATTTTCAGCAAGTGGAGAGATTTACTAGATGATGCTGTTATCTCTCCAGTCTTGTTTCTATTAAGGTACACCGAAAAGCCATTGTTTTGGAAACCAAACTCCTTTGCCACCTACAACAAATCCCAAAATAGAAATTTAATGGAACATGTAGGTATCACTATACAAGTCACAGTATCAGACACAACTGGAAAAATGCTTATGTATCCCAGAAACTGCTCCTCATTCACCAAGTTCCTCATCTTCCACTCTTTTGACAGAATCTGTCTCCTCATGAAAGTGTCAACTCAGATAAAAAATATGTATCAAAGGCAAAAGTCTTGTGTAAACAATAAAACTGCAGACACATTTAAGAGTCTGAAGAAAGAGCCAGGCATGGTGTTACACAGCTGTAATACCAGCATTTGAAAGGCTGAGGCAGGAACATCACAAGTTCAAGGATAGACTGTACTACAGAGCAAGACTCTGGCTCAAAAAAATAAAACAAAACAAAAAGTTTGAAGAAAGATGGGCTGGGGATTTAACTCAGCGGCATAAGCACCTGCCTTGCAAGCAGATGGTTGTGAGTTCGATCCCTGGTACCGATAAAAATGAAAAAGACAAAAAAAAAAAAAAAAAGTTTGAAGAAAGAATCACAACTAAGTGTTATCAAGTTGAAGCCAAGCCAGATGTGATGGCATGCACTCTGGAAGGCTGAGATAGAAAGATTCAAAAATTATCTTACTTGGGCTGGGGATTTAGCTCTGCGGTGTAAGCGCCAGCCTGGCAAGCGAGCGCAAGGTTGTGAGTTCAATCCCCAGTACCGCAAAAAAAAAAAAAAAAAAAATTTACCTTACTTGCCAGGCATGGTGGCACACACCAGTGATCCCAGCACTCTAGAAGGCTGAGGTAGGAGGATCACAAGTTCAAACCCAAGGAGAAATTTAGCAACTTACTGAGATTCTATCTCAAAATAAAAAGCACTGGGCAGGGAGGTGGCAGAGGGTATGTGCTTGGGATATAGTTCAGCAGCACAGCACCTGCCTGGCAAGTACAAGGTCCTGAGTTCAATTCCTGGTACCCAAATAAATAAGTAAATAAGTAAAAATTTTGATAGAACAGGTTTTGAAAAACAAAACAACAGCTGGGTTGTGGTGGTGCATGACTGATTGAATCCAGAGCCTTTGCAATGAGCTACTGAAATATTTCTTCTAGCCCTATTTTTTTCTTTTTGAGGACTTGCTGAGTTGTTAAAACTATTCAAACTGGGCTTGAACTTTTAATACTCTTGCCTCAGCTTCTCAGAGTGCTGGGATTACAGAAGCATGTAACCATGCCCAACTGAATCCAGCATTTAGGAGGCTGAGGCAGGAGAATCACAACAAGTTCAAAAATAGCCTGGGCTATGAAGTGAGTTCAAGGCCAGCCTGAACTCAAAAAGACCAAAAACAAAAAACAAGTTCTCTCCAATAGTCACTCAGAAATATTACACCTGCAAAACAACTTGACACATTCACTTGGGCTCTTGGTGCTATAATTTCAAATTGGAATCAGCCATGACCAACACTTGACCCAACAATAACCCAACCCAAAGATAGAAAGAAAAGCCATGCAAGAGACACCTTGGGATCATGAGGAAAAAGAAAGGCACAGAAGGGAACAGTGGGAATGAACAAGATCCTGAAAAGTTAAAATGTCCACACCATAGGTACCTTCTTCAAAAATGTGGCAGCTGTTTCTCTCTTTGTTGCTGTGATCCGCTTCACCCCATCTGGGGACTGGACACGGATTATCTGTTGTAAATGAAACAAGACATTACTACGTAGCCTGCCACAGTCCTGATCTATTATTAAGACTCGTATCTGCAAGCAGTTGGCATCAGGGTCACTGTAACTAAAAGCTAAACCTCCTCCTTCCCCTGCAATACTCAATTTAATCTTCCTAGTAGAAGAACTTAAGGACAAGGTTCTTCAACACATGCTGTCGTGACTTGAAACTCGTACAGTTTCACACAGAAAAACAAAACTTTGTTGATTTTTGTTATTTATAAAGAATACATTTAAAATGCTTTTTTCCTCCTCTTCAAATTTTAAAGAAAAACAAAACAAAACAAAACCTGATCATGAGTCATGAATGACTGGGTTCTTTACAAAATGATCTCAAGCCAGGAAGGAGCACCACTAGAATTTGAGGCCAGCTTGGGCTTCATAAAGACCTTGTCTCAAAACGTCAAAAAGAAAAAAGAGAATCTAATTTTGTTCCACAAGCTAAACACAGACATTATAGTTAGATTAACACAATATGATCTGAGAAAATCTTCTAATTTATTATTACTTTTTCTTTTCTTTTTTTTTTTTTTCTTTTTTTTTTTGTCTTTTTCATTTTTATCGGTACCGGGGATCGAACTCATGACTGCCTGCTTGCAAGGCAGGTGCTTATGCCGCTGAGCTAAATCCCCAGCCCCATTACTTTCAATAGAAAGATTAAAACTAAATAGATAAAAGTTTTTAAAATGACAAAAAATTTTTTTGGTATCAGGGATTGAATTCATAACCTTGCACTCACCAGGCAGGCACTGAGCTGAATCTCCAGTCCTAAAAGGATGAAATTTTTACTGGAGTTTAAAAGAACTTCTTTCTTGGCAGGCCTGCTAAGACAACTGGACAAAGGCTCTACTTTCTAAGACCAGATATTTACATTTTTACGACCAGATATTACGACCCTTCTGAAGATGTGCTACTATGCTGGCCTACTATACTGACCTTACAAGCCAGGAAGTATGAACTAATATCTCCTTCTGCAAACCAGAAAGCTGCTGCCCAACCACCTGAAGACATAAAGGATTATGCCAGAAAATGCTCACATTGTAGCTTCTCCCTGGTGAACTACATCTAACACTATACAGGTGAAAAATGCCGCAAAAGATTGTTTTAAGCGAGTCTACACCAGGCATGGTGGTGCATGAGGGAGGCTGAGGCAGGAGGACAGCTGTGAGTTCGAAGCCAGCCTGGATTATATAACAAGACCCTCTCTAAAAAAAATTGGCAGAACACCAAGATGGCAAAGTGGTAAACAGCAGAGAAAGAGCCTCTCTGAGAGTTGCTGTTCAGATGCTAAAATATAGCAATGTGAAAAAGACAAGGAGAGAAGAGAGTCCCCTGGATCCAGGAAAGATCTTAATCATGAAGCGCACAGAAAGAATGAACAGAGAAACTTGAACAAAGATGAAAGGAGTACCTGCAGGTGCCTTCTCCCTGAGACAGGATTCACTGCATGAGAGCAGCACTTCAAACCCATAGACACACAGTGATGGCTGGCAACCTCAGAGGCCTCCACAGACAGATGAGATGCAGCAGTGGAAGGGAGCAGTGAACGTGAAGGACTGAATTAACTGGCAGGAGAGCAACTGAATGAGCACCAGCCAGGACAGGGGCTGACTGAGCTCAGAACTCAGAGCAGATCTAAGAGCTCCCAGCTGGGCTCAAGCCTGCACAAGGTGCCCTGACAGTGGCAAGCCAAATGAGTCTGGTCTCCTTCAGAAAGGGCAGGCTCACTGAGATAATCCACTACTCTGCCAAAAATCTACTGCTGGCTTGCTGGGATAGATCAGCTCACATTGGGATTCTGTCTCCTCATGCTGTCTACCAGTGCTTAGCAGAGACAAATCTGGAAGTAGACTTCTTTTTACTTTTTTTCCTTCTCTCTCAGTGTTTTGTTGTGGTAGTGGTTTTCTTTTTATTTTTTGCTTTTAGCTTTTTTCCTCCATTGTTTGATCTTGTTTTTATATAAATCTGAATGTAGTTTCTAGCCCGTTTGTGGTTGTTGTTCGGTTCTGTTTTTTTTAATCTCTTCCCTCTTTCCCTCCAGTTTTCTGTATCAGTTTCCCAAAATTAGTATAATCCCTCTGTCCTCCAACTTTATTTCCAATCTCTTCTGCTTCTTCCACATATCTATTTTCTCCTTAACCAATTTTAAATCTTAACTCCTGATGGCAACATTGACATATTAATGACTTGTATATTGTATATAATTTTCTGATTTTAGATTTTGTTATATAACCACAAACCTAGTTCATACAGTTAAAAGTGGCAAATTAATGGTTACCTAAATTTGTCACTTTCTAGACTGTTTGATGCTAATGATAACCCTATAGTCAAAAGTGACATAATTTTTCTGAACAGCTATATTCTTCCTCATATTTTATGACTGAGACTGAATAATGGTCACAGAAAATACTGTGGCACTGTGCCAAAGAACCAGGGACTGGGACAAAAAAGCATCAACTTTTCATCTCCAACAAATTGAGGAGGTGGGATGTTCCAACAGAATCAAAACCCAATAACCAGCTGAGCACGGTGTCTGCATTCCTGTAATCCTAGCACTTGAGAGGCAGAAGCAGGAGAACTGTAGCAAACTTGAGACCAGCCTGGGCTACGAAATAAGCTCAAGGCCAACTCTGAACAGCATAGTGAGACCCTGTCTCAAAAAGACAATATATAAATAAATAAAGCCACAAGTGGAAAATACCTTGGAGAAGTAGTCATTGCCTAAGGGTTCTAAATACTACCAATAAAGTAACCCACTGTAGTCAACTGACAAGCATCACCCTGGGAATTAAACTAAAAAAAGAAAAAGAAAGTAAAAAGCCAATTAAACAAGATACATCCCTGATATCAAGTTCACCAAAAGCAAATCCAGGACGCAAGGAGGTGGGACAATCCAAAAGCCTCCCACCTTGCCTTTCTGAAGTGATAACAACAAAGCAATTGAATGAGGCTCTGGGAAAAATCAAATCGGAAAAATTTTTTTTTTGGTCTTTTTCGTTTTTACCGGTACCGGGGATCAAACTCACGACTGCCTGCTTGAAAGGCAGGCACTTATGCCGCTGAGCTAAATCCCCAGCCCCAAATCAGAAATAATTTTAAAAATAACTGCAGAGATGGTGTCCACAATGAAGACCATGCTTAAGTGACTGTAGAGCAGCTACAGATAAAAACAAAAACAAACAAGCAAAAAACCCAGGAGCTTAAGAAAATTATGGAAGCTATGAATGCTCAGCATAGGAAAGAAATGGAATCAAGCATAAGGCAGATATCAACAAGATAACCAGGAGAATAAAAATTCCATTGAAAGTATTCACAGCAGATTAAGCCGATGTGACGACCGGATCTCAAATACAGAAGACACGCTTGCAGCAGTGATCATGAAAAGAAAGATTTGTTAAAAACAGCAGGGGAGGGGCTGGGGATTTAGCTCAGTGGCATAAGCACCTGCCTTGCAAGCAGGCAGTCGTGAGTTCGATCCCCAGTATCGATAAAAAGGAAAAAGACAAAAAAAAAAAAAACCAGCAGGGGACCACTAGTTCAGTGGCACAAATGCCTACTTGGCAAGTGCAAGGTCCCAAGTTCAATTCACAGTACCAAAAAAAAAAAAAAAAAAACAGAAAAGAAAAGAAAAGGAAGAGGAGGAGGAGGAAAAAGAAGACGAAGAAGAAAAAGAAAAACAGCAAGGGACCATGAGAAATCAACGCAGCAACTGCCAGACAAAGCAAAAAAGAATAATTTTAGATTGACTGGAGTCAATAAAAAACCAAGAGATACCACAATGATAACAAAAACTGTTCATTGACATCATGATAGAAAAACTTTCCTGGCAGAGAAAAATAAATGGACATAAAGATAAGTTAGGCATATAGAACTCTATTAGCCACAATAAAAAAAAAAAAAAAAAAAAAAAACTACAGCAAAGCTATCAAAGTAAAGATTCCACAAATTCAACACATGAGTATAATCTTAAAAGCTGTTAGGGAAAAGAAACAAATAACCTATAAATGAAAGTCCATTAAAGTCACAGCTGACTTCCCAGTACAAACCCTCAAGTAAAGGAGAGCTTGGAGTGAAGTATTTCAAGTTCCAAGAAAACAGCCCTCAACTCAGACTGATGTATCCTACAAAACTATCTTTCAAAACTGATGGAATGAGGGTCAGAGGGTTAGTTCAGTGGCTTAAGTGCCTGCTTGGCAAATGCGAGGTCAAGTTCAATCCCCAGCACCAAAAACACACAAAAAAACTGATGGAGAATAAGATTTTTCCGTAACAAAGAACATCTGAGGAAATTTATGACCACCAAACCAGCATTCCAAAATGTTCTGAAGGATATGTAAGAAAGAGGTAACAAGAACTATAGCTCCAAGAACCTCAACAGAAGGAATCCTGAGGTAAAGCAAACAAACACAAGGAGGGAGGAAAAAAGGAGCCTACAACAGACAAATAACGTGACAAGGATAAGTCAGTACATGTTAGTTATAACCATCAAAGGTAATGGTCTCAATTCGCAAATCAAAAGAACAGATCAAGAATCAAGATTCAAAAAATGCTGCATAAAAGAAACACATTTTATCAAAAAAAATTAGACTGAAAGTCAAACAATCCTCCATGCAACAGGAACTCAGAAAAAAGCAGGGGGTAGCTATTCGACTTACAGACAAAATGAATTTCAAGCCAAGACTGATTAAGGGACATGAAAGAAGGTCACTACACTCTTGTAAAGAGAACACGATCATATAAACATATGTAATAAATACTAGGGCCCCTAACTACATACAACAAACATTCACAGGCATGAAAAATCAAATAAGCACTAATACAATTGTATTGGGGATCTCAGTATCTTACTGTCACAAAAAGATCAACTAGACAAAAAAAAAATCAACAATGCAATATTCTAATATTATATATACCAAATCAAACTTCTGAACAAACAGTAGATGTTTATAAAGTGTCCCACCCCACAA